CATTATCCTTGCATTTTGCTGGCAGACTCTCACAGTCATTTTAATGAATTCCCATTGGTTATTCCAAGTCTGCTGCTTTTTCAGTTCTAGATGCTAACGAAAAGTGTTACTAATTGGATGTAATCATTGCTGTAGAATTTATTTATCTATACAGCTGGCCTGATATGACCTGACTAGACCTGACAGTAGACGGAGGTTAGTCGAGGTCAATTGGGCAGTAATTGGCTGTATTTGCCAGGGTTGTTAAGGCATGTAATTACCTGAGGGAGATCACAACTGACCACTGGTAACCACAGATCAATAAGATGATGGTAACCGGAGAATGTCAGCTATTTAAAAGCTTTTCAGTGTCTCATGGTTCACTGCTGTTTATGCTGTGGGTTTGTTGTTGTTGTTGGGTTTATTGTGGCTATCAATGAATATTTTAATGACGAAAAAACAAAAGTCATCATACGTACATGTAATTAGTTTCTTTACTGCAATTATTTTTTCAGTTATTAGTTCAATATCCAATTTCTGGTTCATGTAAGCTCCTACTGGTTGTAGATAAGATTTGTTCATTTAAGATGGGATTTGTTCATTTAAGATGGGATTTGTTCTTTAAAGATGGGATTTGTTCATTAATTCATTAATGTTAGACTAATAAAGGATTTGTTTTGAAACAGTTGATCAGTATATTATTCCAGTTAAAACCAATCACTCAAGTATGCTTAACAAGGCTGTGCTTATCATGTGCTCAAGAGGCAAACTAAGTACTATTGATACTTACCAAGGGCTACATGTACTTACGAAGGGCTACAAGTACTTACCAAACACTAAATTATATTCTTACTAAGGGTAACCTATGCGTTATGATACCAAGAAATTATGTGCTTACCATAGGCTGAAGATAAAAACCAATCACCACTGGTGCTTATAAAAAATTCTGTGTGCTTACAAAGGGTGCTTACCAAGCACTAAACTTATTTCATACTATGGTCTTCTAGGTGTGCATGAATACCAAGCAATTTTGTGCTTACCAAGCACTAGGATATAAGTTCTTTTATGCTAGCCAAGCACTGTAAGTGCGTACCAAGCAATATATCTAAGTCTCCCAAAATGAACTGTATATTTCAAAAATATTATAGAATTATGATACTATCAATATTCAAAAATAAGTCTTATCTTATAATTATAGCATTGGTAATTATATTACAGAATCATATTTTAGCATTCTTACATTACATGAGGTAATGGTTTGTTGTTAAATTGACCATGTATCTCACATTGTTTGGAAAACCTTGTCAGTCTGTTCATTTGTATGTAAAAATCTTAAATGTGTCTTTTTTGCTTGTCTTTTTTTCTTCTTCTTTTTTTCCCTAACCTAACAATTCAACAATTCAATAGGATTGTAACATGTTTCGTATCATATTTACATAATGAACTTAGATTAATGTGGAAAAAAAAAACATATCTGCAGATTTCATTAGGGTAAAGAAGAAAATGTTAAAAGTGACATCTGGCGGATACATTAATATACAGAATACAGCTACTTTATAATGTACTTTATATAATGTTCGATATTTTGTTACATAGTACTGTTCTAATGTTCGATATTTTGTTACATCTGGAGCGAGCTGTGATACTGTGTTATCGAAGGCCTTTTTTCGTTGCAGCTTATTATCTATCATTCTATGCCAAAAGAGGAAACTTTTAAATTTGTGTTCAATTTTTTTTCGAAAAATGTGGTTATTTCTTCACAAAATTGAAGTGAGGATTTAGGAAATATACTAGTAGTGATTTCAGTACATTGAGGTTGGTACTTATTCTATAAAAAATTGATGAAGTATGAGAAAAGTTGGGAAAAATATTGAATTGTTTTTACTGTATTTGGTCAGAAAAGAGTCAGCAACTTGCGTTTTGTGTACCTTTTTGACTATCAAAGTGTTACTGTATCCAAAGCTTTTTATCAATCGGTAGTAGGCCTACGGATATGTGACTGAAAAAACAGAATAGTATTTGTGTGGAATTCAGGCAAATTAGATTGGATATTAAGGGCTTGAGTAATTATGTATGACTGAAATACTATGTGGCAAACAATGTTATTGGTACAGTTTCATTAACAGTAGTTTCCATGATTTGTAAATTTGTTCCATCTTGCATCAGAACACATTAAAAACAAAATGCAACTGCCATTTAAATCATGAGAGCTTTAAATTTTTGCTATATATATATATAATATATATAAGTATACATGATAATGATTTGTTAGTGAATATTGCTGCTGTTTATGTGTTGACAATTTTTTTTTTTTTTATACACAGCTACTGATTTAATTACGAGGCAACTGTTTAATGCTTTGGTTTTTTGTGACTAATTAACTGGTTCCTATAGCTTTTGAAAAAAAAAATCTTTTTTTTTTATAGAAAAAAAAAATGTTATTTGTTTCCCCCCTCTTTAGAATCCCACAGAGACGAAATAGAAATGACTTTATTCTTGCTAATAAAACCACACAGGTTTTTGAACGAGACCAATTAGCGTGGAAATTGTTAGGAAAATTGGAAAATTATAGAGAAATTTCTGACAAATTATCCCTATTTGTTTTCCCATTACATGAGAGACCGGCTCTTTGTTTACTTTCTAATGTAGCTTCAACAAATGAATTATTGGCCTCTAAGGTTGCTGTTAATCAAATGTTGTTTTCCCTCTGTTACTGTGGAAACGATAATTTTTCATTTCTGTTATTTTTTCTTTTACACATATTGGTTGTATTGTGGAGTAAAAATTCTGTCTACTGACAGATTCTCTTTTTATCTTTCTGCATTCTTTTGAGTTTTCTGTATTTCTATTTCCTAAAAAGAGATGAAAAGACTTAGCTTGTGTATCTCCATTGGCCTGTTAACTTTTTTAAACTGTTGATTTCTTCCCCATTTGAGCCGCTCAGGACAAAACCAACATACAATCTGGGCAGTCTGATCAGGATCCATGCTGTTCGCTTACAAACCCTATAACAAGTAACAGCATGGATCCTGATCAGACTGCGCGGATGCGCAGGCCAGTCTGGATCCATGCTGGTCGCAAACCCATTATGTTGGTTTTGTTGTGACGCGGCTCATTTTTTTTTTCTCAATTTTCCCATCAGGGAGTTTAATTCCCATTATTAAATATCTCATACAACATCTAGACAAAGTAACCTTTTAATATCAATAAAGAGAATATTTGTTGCCGATTAATTTATGACTTGATTTTTCTGTTGTTTACAGACTTGTTTCAATCTCTGTCGGGTAATTAATAACAGTATCGCAGGTAATATTTTACCGTTAGACAATCTGACATTATACGTTAGACAATTTAAACAATCCAAGTCGTGCAATAAAGAAGAAGATAGCATGCTGTGTTTCATTAATAGATCTGATTTTTGATAATGAATAAATGGAGAGTGTAATATTTCACAATTTTTTTTTATCAATAATTCTCCTGTATCTCAGTAAAGGGTATAGTGTAAAACATGAAGTGTTGTGTCAATATTGTTGTCATCATGGGCAAATTAAAGGTGGATGGATGACTTGTTTAAACAAACATTGCCGGTGATTTTTATCATACATGGGACCTCTGAGTCACATAGTTAAATATTTTTTTAAGAGTACAATAAAAATATAGTTGAGTGAGATTACTTTATACAATCAAACTTTTGTTGCTTCTTCTTAAGTGTTTTAAATACAGTAAAACTTTGTGATAGTGAACTTATAGGGATCATGACCTATGCAGGCCTATGAAAGAAGTATCTCAATGTAAAACAACCTATAACATCTTATGTGCGGGCGAATGCATAGATAAAATTATTTTAATGTGCTGTATTTAAATCATAATAACAGGCAAACCAGTGTACTAAAAACCTTCCCTGAAGATGACCCTTTTGTCAGTTTCAGAGTTCCAGTTTTTTGTTGAAAATAACACATTGTACACTGAAACTGCTTATAGAATTTATTGAGATTTGATCTTTTTGTGAAAATGACAACTGGAGATATTTTTATGTAAATTTCATTTCATTTTCAGTATTTTATTCCTATACTTTTTACATACATGCCATAATTTTTTGGACAGCTTTCCGGGACACTTTTCATCGCGGCAAAAATGGATGTGTAGGCAGTTGTGGAAAAGTGGGGGGGGGGGGGGGGGGGGGGGGGGGTCAATCGTATAACGTTATTAAATTAGGACGACTTTCTCCTGATTTTTAATGATAAACAGTTAACTTACTAGTTTTATAAGTTGTCTTTTAGGTCGACATATTTATCATTTTAAAAGTATTTCTTTATTTAATTTATTATTCCCTAAAAGCAAGTAAGTTGTAAGTTATAAACCCGGTGAATGGGCGCGGCCATGTTGTTCACCCGTTATATCTTAAAGTCATGATAATTACTACATGTCACGTAATGCAATTCTTCCAGTCATAAAAACAAACACAGCAAGGTGATTTATTTGACACCTTTAATTTTTTTATTTGATAGATATATTTACATTGTTTGTAATAATTAGACTTTCGGCAATTTAGCGATTGATCTAAAAATTAATGATTATCGGGGATTAACGATAATTGTTAAGGGCCGTAAACAATTGATCAACCCGACCATTAAACGCTGCCGAATTCAACAGAGAATGTTAATTGCCGATGCATGAAGAATCTATTGCCGAGGGGAATCGACAGTCGATAATTGGGGGGCTGTATATTGTAAACTTGTAAGTGTCAACGTTCCTGTGTATTTTGTGTACCAGGTCAGATTATGTATCACGATCTAGAGATGAAATGTGCGAGATTTGATTTAAGAAAATTTATGAAAATTTTGCAAATTATCATGATTTTTTTTTCCGGGATCAAATCGATGCCCGGGACATCTCCGGGACAGACATCCGATTTCCGGGACAATCCCGGGCATCCGGGACGTTATGGCATGTATGCTTTTTAGTTTTCACTACCTATAAGCATGCATATTCTATAATGCTGTATTTCTGTATATTTTCAGGTGTCAGATGCCAGTCTAGATATCTTCAAACCTATCAATAACAGTATTATTACATGTAAGTGGATTTTTTTCCTCACCCTTTTTGGGACCTGGTATAGACTGTTTGTCAGATAGGAAATTGCTTAGTTCCAAAACTTAGTAAAATGGGGTTTAAAAAACAAAAACGAAAGCTCCACGTTTGGAAATTTTTGAGGTGCAAAAATGTGCCCAATTGGAAATTGCCTAGTCCCCAAACTAGGTGAAATTGGGTTACAAAACACTGCCAAGTTCTGAATATTTATGAACATTTGGAAGTTTTGAGGGGGAAATATTAGGAATTTGTAATTCAGGGCACACTAGGTCAAACCATACACCTATCTAAAGAATGGGGAAAAAAGATGGATCTCTCAGCACATTATAATTTATCAATATGCCCAGTCACAACCCCAGTGAAAATGTCACCAAAATCTCAGTGAAATTTCGCTGAAATGCATAGAATTGTCACAATGATAGAATTTTGGTGAAATTTTACTGAAATAACACTAAATTTTTGATCGCTGACCATTTTCACTGGGGAAATTGAATGGCACCTCACCAATGGTCCGGCGTCGGGAGTTTGCTGCAAGTTGGTTGTAGTACTCTGATGCCTACACGTACCTGAAAGGCACCTCAACCTTTAAAAGCAAGAAAATTACCTTATGGCATTAGTTTACATTCTCAGCTTAAAGTTAATTTTCTGCACGAAAAGTTATCTTTAGCTTAATACAAATTAAAAGTTTATTTTCTGAACGAAAAGTTATCTTCAGCTTAATACAAAATTAAAAGTTTATTTTCTGAACGAAAAGCTAACTTTAGCTTAAAACAAAATTAAAAGTTTATTTTCTGAACGAAAAGTTATCTTTAGCTTAATACAAAATTAAAAGAATATGAAACTTATGATAAAACATTTAAAAAAAATATAAAGAATGTCAGTTTGCTTGACCCATTTTAAGTATCTCTAAAACCATTTCATATTTCTTGATTTGTTTTAAGTATATCTCTACAAGGCCATTAAATGTCCTCTTTAAGATACTTCCTTTTGTCAAAAGGGGAAAAAAAGACAATGAGGAATTATAAAAAAGCAACACAACACAATTAGAGAACACTGTCTAGTCATGGGAAGTTTGTTATCGGTTGATGATATAACAAAAGATAACACGCTAGTTTTAAATCCAAAATTGGCAGACTGATGCCCTTAATAAACCACTTAACGCTGTCATGTGAATACCTCTTAGGTCTTCTCGAACAGAATGATGTTACTATGACAACGTCACTATTTCCATAAGAATGGTTAAGTGTTATTGAAGTGCAACTGAAGAGGTATTTGACTGGTTAAGAGCGCACTTAGGCCGCAAATGAATAGCAGGCAATCAAATACAAGTTACACTTGACGAGTTTGAGAAAGTACAAAGAGCGTGTGGTTTAAGTCTGAAGTGTTCCAAATGTGTTTTAGTTCTTGATTGATTAGTGTGCACATAACGCTCCCTTGCCGTATGCACGCTGTGCGCTATATGCGTTGTCTTATAGGTCATCTTTGTATGGGGCTTTTGGCACAGTGATTTTTATTACCGTGATCTCTTATATGCCTTCTTCGAATATAAAGAGGTTGTATTTTGTGTGTGTGATTTGTTAAGGGATTGCTTTAAGAAATGTTTTGTTGATAAAAAATTTTAGATTAAGATTTTACCCCCCCCCCCCAAGAAAAAAGAAAACAAACAAACAAAAACACTTTTTTTCATGATCCTTATTAACATGGTTTGATCTGAAGGCTCTTTCTTAATGGTTCCCCAGTTAACCTTTTATGCTTTAGTTAGGCATGGAGCCTTACAAAACATTAAGAATCTATGAAAAAACGTATTAAAGAGACGAGACATTAACATGACAAAATCTAAATGAAATTACTTATTAGAAAGGGTCAAGTACTAAGACAGACTCCAAATATGGTACTGGACTACCATAGTAGACTATATAACTGTTGATTGAATAATGAAAAAATAAGACAATCATCAGATATGTAATGTAATGACTGAAATGAGAAAACCACAGCTGTCTCATTACAACCAAGAGGAAAAACCTTGGATATTAAAAAGTAGGTGTAAAGTACCTGTAGTGTGTCTGATAATTTTATCAAAACTGACAGAATGGATTTTGATTAGCCACTTGTAAACCCCAGAGATTTCCTGTTACAACTCCATTACTTGGCGGCCATAAAACACAAGTGGGGTCCTTGAAAAAAAAGATTATTTGGCTAATAATGTGCTATATTATATTCATGCATGTTTTATGGCAGCATTCTGCCAATTTACAGAAGCTGTGCAAAGAATATGATATCTGTTCAAGACTGAAGCATCCTGTAATGGGATTGGGGTGGGGGGGATCTGTGGTAGTAGTGATAGAGAGAGGGAGTGTGGGGGCGGGGGTATGATAGGATGGAATGTCAGAAAATTTGATATTTTGGCAGGTTTGCTTATTTCGACTTCAGGATATGATAAAAATGATAAATATTATGTCAGGAACTTATTGCAGGTTGTTTTTTTTAATTTAATTTAGAGAAAGAAAGATTATTCTATTTCAATGAAATCATGCTTTTCAGTTTACAAAATTGAATATTTTTCTTTTATTTGAAGAGGATATTCTAATATTCTAATGATAAAATAAAGAGGTTATTTCTTCCAGAGTTTGAAGAAACAGAATCATTGGTGGTTTGGTTTGTGTGTAGAAACTCATTCTCCACACTTTATGTATGAGTAGAAGGAAAATTTTGTGTTACTAACTCCATATAGCAAATCTTTTATGAACCTGTTACGTGCTGGAAGGGAAATGACCTAATTGTTATTGCTTGATTTTAAATCGTTTCAGGTGAAAGAAATGTAACGTCCCTTCTGCCACCAGTATCAACACATAGTGCAACAATCACCACGGCAACTCATACTACAACAACAACAGGAAGTGATGTCACTGCCACCATCGTCTCCACAACCACAAGCTGTATACCACTAGTCACTAGCAGTCAAACAACTACGAGTGTAAACGTTACGACTGCGCATCATATCGTGAATACGACAACGTGTAGTAGTCAACACGTCCATCAACACAATCATCTGCAACCAGTTGTTAATCAGTCATATCACAAAGTTACGTCAGCAGACAATAAATTTATACCAGCTGACAATAAATATTCATCACTTGATAATAGATATACATCAGTTGACAATAAATATTCAACAGCAGATAATAAATATTCAACAGTTGACAATAAATATTCGTCAGTTGACAGTAAATATTCATTGGGAGAAAGCAAATTTTCATCAGTTGAGAGTAAATATTCTTCCCAGTTAAATCAACAAAAGATTCATACCAATAACAATAATGTTAATAAGGATGTTAGTCATACAAACAATTTTCAGTCGGTGATAAAGCGTCGACCATTATCTCCGCCACCGTTGACGAAATCTAGGCCACCGTCGCCTCGTCATAAATCAATATCGCACCCATTATTACCAGCATCGTCATCGTCAACCTCTCTTTCATCTATAATAAGCAACCCTGTGATCCATCGTGAGTCAAGGCGACCAACACCACCATCAAGAGCAAAGACGCCTCGTCGGGAAGATTCACGTGAACGAGAGACTTACCAACAATTACCTCCAAGTCTCGCTGTCTCAAAGTCATTCTTCTCACCAGGATTTTCTGGGTTTGTAATTTTACAATGCTCTCTAAAATGACTACAAGGTTCGGAGTGAACTTCGTAGTCTATATTTTCAGAATATATAAAATTTTCATGATAGACAATATTTGGCTATTAGACTCCGAAAGTTATAATAAAACAAAGTCAAAAAAAAAAAGAGGAAAAAGGGACAATTATGATATACACTATTGACATCCTGTGTGATTTACCTATTTCATATATTTCAAGGAAAATCGATCCTGTTAGCTTACAACCTATTTTCTACAAACAGCTAACCTTTTTTTTCCAGACTGTTAGCTAACCTGTTTTTCCCTGACTGTTAGCTAACCTGTTTTCCCTAGACTGTTAGCTTACCTGTTTTCCCTAGCTTGTAAGCTTACCTGTTTTCCCCAGACTGTTAGCTAACCCGTTTTTCCCTGACTGTTAGCTAACCTGTTTTCCCTAGACTGTTAGCTTACCTGTTTTCCCTAGCTTGTAAGCTTACCTGTTTTCCCAAGACTGTTAGCTAACCTGTTTTCCCCAGACTGTTAGCTTACTTTGTTTTTCTCACCAGTTACTGCAAACTTGTACATGTGATCACCATGACTGAAGGACAAATGATATTTTGTCTTCATCCAAGTCACGAAAGTGTTTGTTTGAAGTAGGCGGATAAAGAATAGAAATAGCATTGTGTAACTCAAGTCTATTGCCAGGAAACATGGCGGGTTGAGGGAGAGAAAAAAACACTTCAGAAGGCATGAATTTTAGCAAGAGTTTCAAATTAGTTGTTACATTATTAATTTGTTTCACACATCACTAATATGCGATAGATAGATTGATGATGAGGTTACGTGATTTACTATGAAAACAGACAGTTACAATAATGCTTGCGCTATGTCACTAATGGTTTCACTTAGGCCAAAAAAATTTATCTTGTGTGTCATTCTATTTCTTGGGTGTCATTTAATTTCTTGGGTGTCATTTTAACGTTAACTGTCATGGAATGGAAAGTTATTAACTTTTGACAACATTTTAAATCCAGGCCAGTCTACGCTTCCAAGCTGTCTAACAAGTATATTATTATTTACAAGAATATTAAATTGAGCCGCGCCATGACAAAACCAACATAGTGCGTTTGGGACTAGCATGAATCCAGACCAGCCTACACAATCGCGCAGTCTGATCAGGATCCATGCTGTTCGCTTATTTACTGTATTACAAGAAGAAAAACTGAAAGCAAACAGCATGGATCCTGATCAGACTGTGCGGATGGGCAGGCTGGTCTGGATCCATGCTGGTTGCAAACCCATTATGTTGGTTTTGTCATGGCGCGACTCAATTATTTTAAGACCCGCTGACATTTACAGAAATATAATTAAAGAAGGAACACATTGGTGTAAGGTGTAATATTTTAATTAAATTTTATCACATCATTTTCAATGAATTACTGCTATACCATTATTTCATATCTGATTATTACAGATATCACTTACAAAATGCTTTTAGAGGGATATTTCCTGTGATTTCACAAGTAAATATTTTTTTTAGATGTATATATTAATATGATCTACGATGTATCACATTTAGCACCTTTGAGAGGTATGTGATCTGAACATATCACAAATTAACTAACATTTAAGATGTGAATGACCTTCTGTTTTGCACGTAACTATGCTCCATCAAGGTACATGACCTGTTCATAGTACTACTCCTTTTTGTTGTTGTTTTTTTTAAGTGTCCATGCATTTTTAAAAGTGAAGGTTTGATGAACTTAGAATTGTTCGGAAATTTACAATTTCTGGTAGATTTATTATGTAATTGAGAGTTACGATGCAATGGCTGGAATATATCAAGACTATTAGATAGAAATAGAATGTTCACATATCTTGAATGATTTTACCACCTTTTTTTGCCAAAATTTCTAATTTGTAAGATGTTTTTCTCCATATCATAAAATTAACACCCCGTCTTAAAGGTGATCCGTGTTATGTACGCAGTAATTAATATAATAATACAATATTTTGTTGAATCAAGATGACAACAGATATTATTGTTGAAAGTCTGATATTAGGTTTTTTAAAGCAATAATTAAAATATAAGAGAAGTTGTCAGGCATTTGTAAAGAACAGATCAGTTAATATTTCATCACCTTCATGCAGTAATGGATAACTACCTACTAAAGTTAATTGGAGTTAACCCGTTACTGCACTTAATTGACGATTTTCGATAAAATATTGGGCCGATTCTCATGTAAAAGCTCATAAAATACCTGGAAATTTGTATCTCACTGACAAGTAGAACTTATTGAATAACATAATTAACTTCTCCATAATGTAACATTGAATTCTTTATGTTATTTACCTTGACCTCATCAGAGTAAAATATAAAAATCTACAATAAAAGTTCACGAACAGCTTTTTATGCACTTCTACTTATTGTAAACCATACATTAGTTTAGTCATTTTACCAACAATGACTTGAAATAATGGGCCAAGTGCTTTCAGTTACTTAATGTAGAGAAGTTTAAACAGTAATTGACAGGTTACATTATGTTTTCAAATAAATGTCCTGAAGGAAATCTTTATTAATTTCAATATTCAGCATGCAGCCCTCAGTATAATAATGCCTAATTTTCCCAAGGTTAGATTGTTCTCTATAGAGCAATCACCTAAATTTCCCCAAGGTTAGACTTCCTTCTATAGAGCAATCACCTAATTTTCCCCAAGGTTAGACTTCCCTCAGTAAAGCAACCACCTAAATTTTCCCAAGGTAAGACTTCCTTCTATAGAGCAATCACCTAATTTTCCCCAAGGTTAGACTTCCCTCAGTAAAGCAACCACCTAAATTTTCCCAAGGTAAGACTTCCTTCAGTAAAGCAACCACCTATATTTTCCTAAGGTAAAACTTCCCTATGAAGAGCAATCACCTAATTTTCTCAAGGTAAGATTTCCTTGTAATTAAGCAATCACCTTTCAGCAGGAACTGAAATCTCTCTGCTGAAGGTAGTTGCTCAGACTGTTATGGCTTGACTTTTTATACTTATTTCATTCCATCAACCTCATTTATAGACAATACTGGATTCCCACACTAACTTGGGAAAATCCTGTGTAAATCTCCTGGACTTGAATATGCTGCAAATGTGCCTCAATATGAAGGGTAAATGATAATGTTGGTAAATCTAGAATTCAAAATGGAGGATGTCAAAATAATATTTACTTCCTGTATTTTTTAAGATACTGACATTATAAAGTACTAGTATTTCTTTAAGATGAATGATGTACTGAAATCATGAACTACTTGTATTTAAGTTGAATGTCAAATTGTCTTTCCAAATATAGACTTATATAATGTATACACATTGAAAAGGAGAATAATTATGTACAAGAAGATTTAATTTGATCATGTAAAAAGCCCTTTGACATTATGCTTTCCATTGAGGACTTTGAATTGCCAATCCCTAAAGTTATGCCCCATTTTAAAGTTAGAATTTTAAGTTAAGATTTTCATTTTCCCAATTAATTATTTTCCATAACAGTCGCGTTGAGATATGTGACTTTTGGTTAAAGTGTATTACTTATAATACAATATTTTCATACAAGAATACAGTTATGTGATAATTGGTAATTATCAGGATATGTGTGTGATGAGATTGAATAGTATGATTCTAAAATAGCTCAATTAACACATACATTTGAACTTTTGGGAACTTTACCAAGAGGCATGTGCTAATTAATGGAGCCCATATTAGAAAAGTGACATGTTACACAAAATATATAATACGTAGAGTGATTGTACGGCTATTATTAAAAATTTCTTGTGTTACAGTACCCGGAATTATCATAAGTGAGCAAATTAATGGAACCCTTATTAGAAAGGTGACATGTTAAACAAAATATAATTAAAGTATGCGGAGAGATATTACCTTAAATTAATTGATGGAGCCTCTATCAGAAAGGTAACATGTTACACTATATATAGAGGTAAGGTAACTTAACTTGTTAACGTTATGTTAACATAGGTTACCTCCAGATTTACTCGCCATGTGAAATTCATGTCATGCTGATATAACTAGAGATATAAACCTTACAAATATTGTGTAAAAACATGCATTGCATGACTGGTCGGACCATTTAAACCTGCAATTAACTTAAATTGTAGCATGCAAAAATGCTTGTAATATAAGTTAATGCTTTTAAAATGATGTACTTTCGGTCATAGACTTCCGTTCAGTTTATGTAGTTTTTTTTTCTCCCCCTGACTTTTGTTTAAAATCTAAACAATGCTTGGTGGGCCTTTTTTTGTAGGGAGTTGTTTTTTTTGCTTTGTACTTTTATTACATTCTGGCATCTTAAAATTTCACTTAAGAGTTGTTTTTTTTTTGTTACTTTTTTTAATAAATTAAGAAAGAAAAGTCTTTAAGGTCTTGTTTTTTTGGTATGATTTTTTTTTTTTTTTAAATATAATGACAGTTTCAAAAATAAAAATATTTAGTGCTCAAATTACTGAAACATTTAAACCACAAAAACACTTGAATATTTTGATACGCAGTTTAATATATGAGCCGTGTCACGACAAAATCAACATAGTGCGTTTGAGACCAACATGGATCCAGACCAGCTTGCACATCCGCGCAGTCTGATCAGGATCCATGCTGTTCACTATCAGTTTCTCTATTTGTATTAGGGTTGGTAAGCGAACAGCATAGATCCTGATCAGACTGCGTGGATGCGCAGGCTGGTCTGGATCCATGCTGGTCACAAACCCATTATGTTGGTTTTGTCGTGACACGGCTCAAATATGAGGAGTCTGAGGGTGTCACACATTTTATATACCAGCATCATGGTTTTATTAATTTGATCTTTTTTCTTCTGAATTTATGAAAGGCGAAGTGTGATTGAGCAATAGATTGGATAAAAAAACAAACATGAATATTTATTAGGTAAACTAGTGTTATAAAATAAAATGAAAAGCAATTTAATTTTTTGTGGGGGAAAAAAGGGCAAAACAAAAAAGAGAGAAGATTGCAACAGATTTTATGTGTATGAATTTGAAGAGATATGGGGAAAAAACTAAAGTAGATACAGATTTTTTGTTTGTAGGAGATAGAAATACAGCCATTTTTTAGTTTTATCTCTTTGATGTAAGGAAATTGAGAGGAAACCATATGTTGTAGTGGGTTTTGAATGAAGAAAATATGTTCCTGTTATTACACTGTAATGTTTAATAATGTATTTAATCAATTGCTATCTAGCTTGCTTATGTAAGATCTATACGCTTAAATCTGGTTCCCCGCACATGTGCCTTAAATTATGTAATATGGCGACCTCCACCAGTACAGCTGGAAAAGCAGTTGTATGACTGTAACAGATTCAACATTACTTTAAGTTTAGTTAAGCTAAGCCTTATTATTATCATTCTTTATTTACAGACATGGCCCTTCTGCTGCAAGTATATATAGTCCGTTAGGGCCAAGCCCAGGACTCCATCCGATACATTCCACGCCACCTAGTCACACCCCGACATTCCCGGGATCAAGCGTGATACCGTCACTACATCAGCACCATCAGTCCACGCCACAGCCGCATCCAAACATGTTTGCTCCGCCTCTACCGCTCGGACTCCCCGGTGGTCCGATACCAGGGTCACTAAGCGGAGCACCATCGTCACATATAACTTCAGAGTCACCTCTGTCAATTTCAAGTAAGTCTATTGATTTATGTATCACATTCCTTTTTTCCTGTAAAAACGCTTAGCTCAATAGGCAGACTATTGGATTTCTTATCCAGGGACCATGGTTTGATCCTTGGGCGAGGAGAAATTTATTTTTTCTTTGTGTCAATCAATCTAATGACTTATTCAATATTGTCATTAATTATTTTCTTCTAGTTGGAGGGGGGGGGGGGGGTTGATTCAGAAATGATTTCGGATTACTAGTCATTCACTTCGGAGATATTGGTCATTACTGGTTAATTATCCAGGAAAGCTGGTTAAAGTGGACGGATATCAGAGATATGACCAAAAACGTGATAAAATTAGCGTATAAAAACAAACAATTTCTTTGTAAAGAAGACTTGTGAATGGAAACTTAATTGTTGGACAGAATTGGTAGTTAAGATTTGTGGTTTTCCAAGAATAGTGTGTTACTAATTGGTCTGCTTAAATAACTTAATGAACATTGTTTGAAATAGGCATTTCAATGACAGGGAAAAAAAATCAAAGGACTCATTCCTTTGTTATGAATTGTGTGTTGAGAGGTCATAAGTTGGAAGGCAATGCAACTGGCAAGATCATCCCTGTGTATTCTTCTTTTGGAAATTATTAACAAAATAAGGGAGAAATGATCAATACTCTAGGAAATGACAAGGTAGTTGTTTTGGTAGAACATTGAACTTGTTGATGTTGAATCAAATTATGATGAAAAAGTTAAAGCAGGAGGGGGAGGTGGAGGTAATGGTAAGATTGTATTTAAGGAAGATATCAGTCAATATAAATGTTTCTAAAAATAAATTTTACGTAAATTTTGATAATAGAATGTTAATTTTCTAAGGAATGGTGCGAAACTGAAGTTGTGAGGATTTTTGCTATTTAAAGAGAACAGGCTTTTGGTTTATTATTTTTCATGAAGCAATTGAATTATTAAGATGGTATTTAATTAAAAAGACAATAAAAATGATATGGAATTTAAAATAGATTGGAAAAACATAGTATGAATATATGGCAATATAGTAAGTTTTTTTATGTGCAATTTTTTTAAATTTTTGTTTTGTTTTTGTTTGTGTAATCTGTAATGTTATTCAAATGCAGGTTGAATGTTATTTATAAATGTTGTATAGCATTAAATGAAAGGAAAAGTCTTGAAATTAAAATTTCTTTTGTAATTTTTAGATCCGGATTTGTTGAGAGAAGAGTTAAATCGCAGATTTCTGGCGTCGCAGGATCGCTCGTCGTTGCTAGGTTCGATACCGCCATTGATGCGGGCAGATATTCATCAGCATATGCATCAGCATCAACATCAACATATGCATCAACATCAACACACATATGGTGGCATGCCACCACCGGCAATTTCAGCACCATCGTTAGTTCCGACACCAACACCTAGTCCGGTAAATTTATTTACTTTTTGTTATTTTCATGGTTAAATGTGAGTAGGCTGAACAAAATTATGGAAATATCCATTTGTTAATAATGTTATATAAATCTATGCGGTGTACAGGTTGACGACAAAAGTAGGTAGGTCTGCTTATAGGTGTTAGCACTGACTGCAAATTTAACCAAATCGACAGAATGTTCCTGTGAAAAAAGAAAAAGAAAAAAAGATCACACAAAGTAAAGATATATGTACAAGTTACATACATATACGTTATTCATAGTTTTAGTAATTACAGAAAATTCTACAATTTACGTAAAACTGTGAGAATTTGAATGTTTCCCCCCAGCTATATGAATTAATTTAAAACTGTGCTACATTTTGTGGGGTAGTGATTAAGTGTAACATGCATTAATTTCGTAATAGCAACATTAACTGGCTTAATGGCAGAATAGGAATTACATTTTGTAAAATGTTCAACATAAAAAGCATTTCTGGTTTATTAACCACAGAAAGGTTTGGGGTTTTTTTGGTAGTGTGATTATAGAACCAAATTCAATTTGTTTATAATCTGGCATTAAAGAAAAAGACGGACCTGATTACAAAATACTTCAGCACTCCCCGCAGGCCTTTGATTAGAAACTAAACAGAGACTAGAAAGAATTCGTATAAAAGCAGCCCATAAATATCTTATTAAGATTAATGCACAGAAATGTTTACAAAGTGTCTGCCACATCCATGTGTTTTACGGCTGAGAGGTGAAATCGTTTCTTAGCTTGTTTAAAGATCATACTGTTTTTCGTTGCAAAAAAATCTAGTTTTCCATTGCCGATTTATTGCGATAAGGTGGAAGATGAAATTCCTGATAGAGCAAGTGTTGATAAATTTTAAATTATGAGAAAAAATAGATTGTTGTACTTGGCAAGTACCCTAGGGGGTGTATGTGGGTAGATAATTGACTGATAGACCTCTGTTCTATTTAAAGAGATGCTGCCTCAATTTCATTTATTATCAGTAATATTAATAATTGGTGGGGGGGGGGGACATAAAAAGTTAAAGTTTGAATGACTACATGAAGTGAGAACTTTATTTTTTAGTACCAAATGTAATTTTATGCAGGTTTGTTATAGTTAAGAAAATATTTTAATATTATAAGTATTTGGTATAAGATGAAACAAGTTGACAGTGTATTTTGACCTGACTAACCGATTGACTTGTTGCCTAAGTGTAAAATTATCTAGAGGCATTTCTCTGTTCAAAGTATAGTATTTGATTGATTTTTTTCATCGTATTTCTTCTTTTGGTTGGAAATTTTATTGCAACCACAGTAAAGGTCATACTTCCAGGTAGAGGAACACGTAAGGTGCTGCCTCTCCATGCATTATTGCAAGCATAAACAGGCACCTGAGTAGAACTAGAACCACTGATAGGCTGTAACCTCACTGGATAGCATTCTCATATAAATGAATCCGTAGCACCTGACCGGATTCGGACCAACAGTTGTGAGGGGCAAGTGGTTTGAAGTCAATGACCTCAACCACTTGGCTGACGATATATTTAAAAGCATACTTGAACACAAAGCATAAAGGAATAGGGTACATGATTATGCTGATGTTATTTGCATTTAAAGTGTTTGATTTGTAAGGTAATTTCTTATTCATCTGATATGGTATATATCTAGGTAATCTACAATGTAATGCCTATGATATCTCATCTAGAAGTTCCATGGCACAACCATTACTATTCATTGGAATCCTGGTGACAGTGACTTGTTTTTCAAATCTAGAAATATTTATTAGCTTTTTATCACATTGGCAGAAATCTGGCTATATTTGTCTTACCTTGGTTATATAATAAGCATAAGAATGTCCCCACACAGTCTTGTTTCTTTGTTATGCAAGTGTGTTTATTTGTTTAATAGTCCATGCTTTCAGATTTACAGTTTTTTATACCTTTGTTGCCTGAAGAATACTACAGCATTAAAGTGTCCATCAATTTAAAGAATATAAAGATGTAAATTTGAAATTAGTAGCCAAAATTGTCCAGTTAGCTCAATAAGTAGAGCAAATTCGACTGTGAATCGGGCAACATGGGTTTGATTCCAGAAAGGTGCAGGTCACTTTCATCGTGATTGATCATGAAATCCTTTCTATGGCCATTCACACTTTACCTCTGCTCTGGCATGTACCAGAAGTAAAAAAACTGTGGTCATTTCCTCGCGAAAATGAAGGCAACTAGTACTGGGTTGTGCCTGCTGGCCTAGTTTTATATTGGTACCAAATCACTATTTCAACAGGTTAGGGGTTAATCTAAGGTCACATTCGAGTATTGTCACTTATTACACTAACATAGTTTAAAAATTTACAAAAACTACACTGTACAAACCAAACAAATGAATGATTCTTTTTCATTATTTCAGTTTGATAAAGTTCCACCAAGTAATCCATTCTTCCGGCAGGGTGTAAGTATATTAGATTTATATTTGCTTACCCTTTACATGAAAAGGGAGATTTTTTACTCCTGGGTTATCCAGTTTCTGTTTGTCCTTCTACAGCCATATCTTGGTTATCAGTTATGTTAAATAGTTAGACTTGATATCTGATATTGACTGTTTTTGTGTGGTATAAGGTTACATACAGTTTTTATCAGATATTGACTGTTATTGTAGGGTATAAGGTTACATACAGTTCATATCAGATATTGACTATTTTTGTGGGGTCGTAAGTTAACATACAGTTTATACTAGATATTGACTTCTTTTGTGGGTCGTAAGGTAACATACTGTTTATACCAGATAATGACTGTTTTTGTGGGGTATAAGGTTACATACAGATGAGTTTTTGTGGGTATAAGGTTACATACAGTTTATATCTGATATTGACTTTTTGTGGGATATAAGGTCACATAAAATTGATAATCTGATAATGAGTTTTTGTGGGGTATAAAGTCACATACAGTTTATGTCAGATATTGACTGTTTTTGTGGGGTATAAGGTCACATAGAGTTAATATCTGATATTGACTGTTTTTGTTGGAAAAAGGTTACATTCAATTTATGTCAAATATTGGTTGTTTTTGTGGGGTATAAGGTTACATACAGTTTATATCTGATATTGACTGTTTTTGTGGGGTATATGGTCAAATAAAGTTAATATCTGATATGACTTTTTGTGGGATATTATGGTCACACAAAATTGATAATCTGATAATGGGTTTTTGTGGGAAATAAGATTACTTTGTGGGGTATAAGGTCTCAAACAGTTGATATCTTACATTGACTGTTTTTGGGTGGGGTTGGGGAGCGTGTCAAAGCTGAAATGTAGGTTGTTTTATTTGACATAAAACTCTTAAGTATTTTGGAATAGGGTGTTGTATACTGGATAATCTTTACTATAAATCTTTATACTGGTTAAAGTTACCCATCCATTGGTCAAATGTGTAAAAAGTAATCAGTGATTAGTCTTTGCCACCAGTATAGAATCAGGCCAGCATGCGCATCCGTGCAGTCAGACCAAACTCTATACTGTTGATAGCTGAATTTTATATTTTGGTATTGAAATACTTTCAATTTTCAATGGACCGTTCTAAATTTGAAGCAGGGCATTCCATTACACAATTTCAGCAGATTTAAGGTTAATTTGACTATATGGATTGATTGCTTTATTAAACTGGAAGAGGGATGTGTAAAGAGAAAAGGGTTTTTCATGGCTGCACATCTTTTAATAACTAAATCAGGTTGCTGTTTTTGTGTTTGTTTTTTTGTATTTTTTTTTGTATTTTTTTGGGTAAAAATTCTTATACTTTTATTCTTCATGTTTCCTTGAAAATACAAGTTTTTAATGTCATATGATGTCAATGGCAACAATAAATGGATCTGTATTTTCATATCAAAACCAGTAAATTTTTCTGACATCATACAGCATAGGTGTATTTTATTTACCATGAAATTTTGTTTATGAATACTGTCTGAGAGTTAAATGTATTTTTTTTTTTTTTTCATATTTCATAAAAATTTACGGATTCCGAGACAAGGTTTAAAAAATAAGCATAGGGTAAAGTTTATAATTCTTGGCATTAAGAATAATCAAGATTGAAATATAGCAGTTAAGGTTAGTTGAGGCGGGGATTCAAAACATGCACAGTAATCATATGAAGTGGCTTTTTTACATATAAATGAAAGCGCGTTCTTTTATCCAGACAAAGTTTCTCTATTCTTACTCATTATTTCTCCCTCGTCTATCATTATGTCCTGTTAAATGATCATTTTGTCATGTGATCATGTCATTTCCATATCTCATAGCATGTCTAGCCGTGCCAGCCAATTTGACGAGACCAGATAATTGAAACACAACAGTTTCAGCTTAAATGCCGCAGATAAAATATAGTTTTGAGGTTCGAGGATGCCTTAAATGCATAAACTTCAGTTTTCTAAATTTTTTGTTTTATTCTTATTACGAAACCAAATTGTATCTTGTAAAATAATTTGTAACTGGAAAATCAACTTGACCCCTAAATTTGACTACAATTTCACAATGCAAATTGGAAAAAAGGGGGACATTTTTGATTAGCGAAAATCAGCAATTATATTCAAGTTTTCATGCAAAATCAGCCAGGGAAGGAATGTAAGGGAGTTTGTTCCAAACTTTCTGGAACAAATTTTGTTGTTTAACATTACCAAATTCTGTTCAGTTTTCGCCGTATTTACAATATTTCAATATGTTCTTAAAACTGGCCATGTTCGATTTTAGTTGACACCACGACCTGGAATTGCCGAGCCAGCCCCTAGACTTCTCTCGGCCAGTAAAGATAAGCCCATCCTACCCCAGCACCCACGTACATCTGCGGTAAGTGATCGTCGTCAGATAAATCGTAACCTTCCGAACAATGTGTTAATGTTGCATGCGTAACATAGTTTATTGTAGATATTTTTTGTTGTATAGAAAGAGAAGCGTCCTGAAAGCATGACCTATAGTTTAGAAATATATATAGAACACGGAAAAACATTGGGACATAAGAGTGCACAGACAAAACTAATAAATAGAAAACTAGAGCATAAATTAAATTGAGCAGCACTCAATATAATGAACTTAAGCATCAGCAAACATGAGAGAAATGGTGTCCTTAATGACCTTTATTTAAAAAAAAATTGAGCTTTGAAGAAGATGAAAAATCAACACTGAAATTTTTATGAAAATGTGTATTTCTTTCCTTGACTGATTTCTATTTCTTATATAATTTATCTGGCAGGTCAGTGGGTTTCTTAAAGGGCTATTCCCTTATGACTGAAATAAATAATGTGGAGGGGGATAGGGGGGACAGGGAGCACTTTGGATCTTTCTCCACCAGTAAAACTAGACTGATTTACCTAACAAATTTATAATTGTCAAAATGGTTTAATGACATTAATTTTGTCAGCATATTGATGAATAAGTAATGAAATAATTTGAAAAAGTAACATTTATTGTACTATTCATTTTAGATCCTGATGAAGGTCTTGAAAGACCAAAACCAGTAGATCCTTGAATAAACCAGTTTACAAACCATCCTGATGTTTGACGTGTGTTCTCTCCTCTTGATTTACTTGTTAATATAAAGTAATATAAAATTTCTGTTTAATGCAAACATGATTTTGCAAGAAAAAGATATTTATTACTGACATGTCCCTTTTAGGCCACCATATTTTTGAAGAATATATGTTAAAGGCTGTGATATGTTACTTTGTAGTCATACCATCATCTCATTTGTCATGCTCATTTCTACAGCATATACTTCTTGCTTTTTTTCCCTCTTACTTGAACATTATATCTCCTGCAATATTCAACTGATTCTTTAACATTTGATTTTATTTCCAAGTAAATTTTAACATAATACTTTAAAATCCCACCATGACATACTTTACTCCAACTTAAACATGATTTTATTTTAGTAACTTCATTGCAACCTGATTTTTACAATTGAAATGGTTTATATTTTGATTTCAACCAGATTTCCAATGAATAACTAATAGCTTGATTTACTTTGATTTCCACACTAAGAATGCTTGATTTCAATTAGCACTTAGAATGGCTTATTTCTTGATTTCAACCAGATTTCCACACTTAGAATGACATATCTTGATTTCAACCAGATTTCCACACATAGAATGGCATATCATTATTTCAACCAGATTTCCACACTTAAAATGGCTTAAAAAAGACAATATCAGACCAGGGTATATATTTAGTAACGTCACAGCTGGTACAACACCAACTAGGTGCACCCCTGTCTCATGTTAAGTTGAAGACCTATTTACCATTCATTTACATTAATAATTTGTAGTAGTGGGCTTTTAAGTATTTTACCATTGTTTAACATCACTTTTAGATAGGCCTTTAAATATACAGATGACAACATTCTTAAAAAATGTTTTTGGTGGTTTTGAATTTTTTTTTGGCCTTAAAATAATAGGGTAATGAAAGCATTGATTAGTACAAAATGTAGTTACACTATTGGTATATGGTATTTTTACTTTAAGATGAGTCAACAGGTTCAAGCTTCTTTAATAATTATGCATGGTTCTAGGTTTTAATGTCATATCTATGCATGTAAATAAAAAACAAAAACAAATAAAACTTGTATATTGTGCGTTTAAAAGGTCTTGTTCATGTATATTGTGTGTTTAAAAGGTCTTCTGAACAAATGTTCAATATCTAGTCAATTTTGCAAAATATGTTTGTTGCATTATTGTACTTCAAAAGTATCAAACATTTCACAAGGGAAATGCCTTTTTACAAATTAATTTGCTCAGTTTTACCATTGCAGTAATGTGATGATTGATATTATCGTGCAGGGAGTTGATAATTGCCAAAAAACTGAAAATAATTGAATGCAGAGAATTGTTAATTGCCAAGAATTGTTAATTGCCAAGAATTGATAATTGCCAACATGCCAGACTGTTGCCAGTATTTCGTTTAGATAATAAAGTTGATATTTTCTTGTATTTAATGCAAGGTTAATGATCTTTTACCTATTTATGCATGTTATTTTAGACTCCCTTTGATGAAAACATTAAATGCTATATAGATATAATTAAAACCAGTGTAAAAGATTAACTAGCTAATAATCCTGGTAATTGTTTTTAAGTGCCCTGCTTATATCATTACAGCAATTCTCTGATTAAATCTATGGTTAAACTCTTCTGGCTTACCATTTGTTACTATTTATAGCCTTACCATTTATTACTATTTATAGCCAGCTTTTATTACCCAGAATGCTTTATTGTATATGGCAGATCCCAGGCTTGCAGGGCTATCCTTCACCGCTACCCGATGCACTGCATTCAGGAATTCCCGGAGCTTTCCAGCCAAAAGTAAGTTTAGACACCTACTATGTTCAGTAATGCAAGTTTGTTCCAAGTATTTAGTCTTAATTTGAGGCTAAATGCATCATTGAATGTAAACAAGTTTGTAATAAATGTAGCACATTTTAAACCCTTTACTCTTCCAAACAAATTCTAAATTACTATAACTACTTATGGCCATTATAAGCATAAGCAAAAGATGGTTCAGGTTAGGTGGCAAGGGACACTATTACAGGGCATCAAAATGGCAGCATTTTGGTTGCTTAACCAAAAGTGGAAAGTCCTTGCAACCAGTATAAAGCCAGGCCAGCCTGCACTTGTGTCCAGTATGACCAGGTTCAATACTGTTGTGTGACTACATTTAAAATTTTTATTTCAATATTCCCAGCTTTCATCAGGGTGGTGAAATTTAAAGTTGGCCAGCCAACAGGTTAGTGCCTGTTTAGACGGCAGGCTGGCCTGGCTGTATTATGCTGGTTAAGGCTTACCACTTTTGGTTCCAGCAGTTAAATGGTGAAAGGTAACTAAAATGCCAGATGTTTTGAAGTTCTTATGTTTACATGGGCAAATTTACATGGACAAAAAGCAAAAACAAAACAAAAAAACTTTTGATGCTCAGAAAACATTTCAAGGTTAGGGTAGGGGGGATACTTTTTGACTGAGGATTCGAAAAGTCTCCGACTTAGAAAGGCTTACCACATAGCCATTGCAAATTCAAAGCTATAATTTGGTTATCCAGCTTGTATGCAGTATGTATGAACTTGGAATGCCAACTGCTCTTCTTGTATATTTATACATGTACATAAAATAGTAATTCCATAGGACAGCTCAAATATAAAGCATGACATTATCAGTATGTTAAGTAGGTGAAAAATTTTGATTTCTTTAAACAGTGATATTTGATTGATGGATAACAAAGGGGTACATTGGTATGGTGGGTGATGGGGGGGGGGGGGGTAATAGAAGGTATTGGTAGGGTAAATATGGAAGATGCATTCTGGCATGGTCAAAGCCTCAAAGGGTTGTACATATATACAAACCTTTGTTTATCACAGTAATTAGATGCTTGTATTGTATAACCTTTGTTACTTTATACACAATAAACTACAGTCCTTTGGTATGATTAAACCTTACTGTGCTGGTTACAACTGAATATACACATGTGATCAGTACAGATTGCCTTCTGAGCACCAGGTGTGCACTGTAATTCTTATTCAGTCAGAACTTATTTTGAAATTTTCCCCTAAAAATGATGAATGGTTTTGTCCAGACTGACAGATGGACAAGTCCATTTAAGATATTTAGCATAGGAAGGTTTAAGTATATGAGCCGCGTCACGACAAAACCAACATAGTGCGTTTGCGACTAGCATGGATCCAGACCAGCCTGCGCATCCGCACAGTCTGATCAGGATCCATGCTGTTCGCTTACCAACGCTTTTACAAGTAGAGAAAATAATAGCAAACAGCATGGATCCAGATCAGACTGCGCGAATGCGCAGACTGGTCTGGATCCATGCTGGTCGCAAACGCACTTTGTTGGTTTTGTCGTTACGCGGCTCATAATTATAGTATATTCATTTGCAAAAGCAGCAAGAGAGAACATCAAATGGCATGTTTACTTGATTCTTGGTTGACAAAACACTTACTATCTAACACTGTAAACACAGATATAGATCTATGCATTAAAGCTATCAGTAACGAACTGCTATAAAATGCTTGCTTTTCGGTATGAGAGATTATTCTTAACTTGCATTCATATGCCAGTTTGGACATGGAAGTGATATCTTTCAAAAAGAATTATATGTTATATAAGAAGGCTTTTACTGCAATGTAATTTATAACAGGTGTGAAATGTTTTGTGCATATCTGAATTTAAAACATTACATCTGGCAGGGTGAATATTGTGATTGCAATGGTCACCAATATATTAACCATACTCTATTAAGAGTGTGTCAAGCTGAATATCTACATCCTGAAGTGTATAAAATTATTGTTTGAAATTTGAAAAAATTTCTTCATAAGAACAATGTAAGAAAGAATTTATATAAGGTTATACATTTGTAATTCCCTAAATGCATATTGGGCATGTACAAAGTCATCGCTAAAAAGGTTTTAATCCTACTAAAAATGTTAGCGTAATAATCATTCGTTTGCAGAAAATTTTATTCTGTTTACATTTAGTATTCATGTTTGTGTAAAATATCATGTTTATGATAACACTTTCAAGTAATGGAAACAAGATAATTTTGTTTTTTATAAATTTTATAAAAATAAATTCATAATGTATACCTTTATACATTTTAAGGTACCTTAAAATTCAGGTCTATTTCTACAGATTTATTGCCATAAGGATAGATTAAATAAAATCTCATTGAAATAAGAGTTACCTGGCCTTTATCTGTTTGATACTATTTGCTCCCTTTTCTTCATTACCAGTTATTCCCTCTTTTGTCTGCAGTCGTTTTTACGACAGGGTTATTTCTTTTTCTTTTCCTATGCTTCAGGGCATAACCACACTCTTGCTGTGGGTCCACTGTTTATCTTAACTTTCTATGTTTCAGGGCATAACCACACTTCATCTTGCTGTGGGTCCACTGTTTATCTTAACTTCCTATGTTTCAGGGAATATCCACACTCCTGATACTCCTGCCGTGGGTCCATTGTTTATCTTAACTTTCTATGTTTCAGGGAATATCCACACTCCATCTTGCTGTGGGTCCACTGTTTATCTTAACTTTCTATGTTTAATGGAATATCCATATTCCATCCTGCTGTGGGTCCATTGTTTATCTTAACTTTCTATGTTTCAGGGAATATCCACATTCCATCCTGCTGTGGGTCCATTGTTTATCTTTACTTTCTATGTTTCAGGGAATAACCACACTCCATCCTGCCGTGGGTCCACTGTTTATCGCTCCAGGACGAGATTTAGACAAGTCCCCTGCTCACATTCCACAAGCACCTCAGAGTAACTTACCAACTACGGCTAAGGTAAGGTTCAGACATACTGCTCCAGTTTTAGGTTCAGAAAAGGTTTTATTTATCAACGACTTACAATTTGCAGTAGAGTTTTATAACCTAAATATTAGTTAGAATATCATATCTACATGCATCATGATTGTAAGGTGTAAAGCCATTATTTCACCATACTTAAGTGTGTGTACTTACCTGTGTAGTAAAACATAAAATATTAAAATTTATGAACCTTTTTCATGCATAGAGTTTGTCTATAATTCCAGAAGCCAGGTAAATGGTGTGCTGTTCATGTACGTATTGCATGGGAGATTTACCATCATCAACAGAAAAATAACTCTGACAAAGGCTCGGATTCAAAGCCCTCGGATCCACTAAGGCCCCCTAGTCACCTCATTCAGGGCCCATCATTGGCACGTCCTCCAGACTTGCCAAATAGTGCCAACTCTACATTACTTGGTAAAATTTAATATCAGTTTTTTCATAGAGATACTAATTTTAATAACAATAATGTGGCAGCATGGCCGAGTGGTTAATGCGTCAGACTAGTAATCAAAGGATTCCTGACTGTTCAAACCCCATAGGGCAAGCTGCTGTTTCTGTAAGCAAGAAACTTTACACCGATTGCTTAGTACTGGTTGGTTCCACGAACAGATTCGAGAGTGTTTCAATAAGCTTATAGCTTCCAACACATTCAAACTATAATAAATTTGTATAAACTAATCATTTTAGTGATATATACAAGCTTTTGGAGTAATTGACTGTATGTATTTAAAGTGGATTGGTCTACAATGGGCACATTTTCAATAAATATTTCAAATATTGGTAACAGCAATACAAATGTATCTAATACTAAATACTATCAAAATTAGTATTTATTGTATTGCAGTCCTTTCCAATATAGACCGAGCCACTTCAAGTCTATTACGCTATATTTTCATTTCTGAATTTTACAAATGATAGATTCAATGTGTGTATTTTTAACTATGTTCACTCCTAAATTTTAGTATTTGGATTCCTAAGATTAACAATGGATAGTCAGGCACAGTCTATTGTAGAAATATAGTGGCTTATTTTGTTTTTACAGGATCAGGGAGAGGCATGTTTGATTCCAATCCACACACCCTGTTAAATTCTGCCAGCCATCTAGGTAAGTTTTGTGTCATTTGTTTTGTGTAAGGGAGACAATCATTGTTTTTGGCATGAATAGACACTACATGATAACTTCCCTTTGTAGAATGAAAAACATGATATACCAGGTATTGAGTACCGTAAGTGATCTTTCAATGAGCACATGTTTTTGTAAAAAGTGTGTTTACATATTGAAGAATGTTAAGTACTTAAATTTATAAAAAAAAAAATTGGAAATACATGTAAATAAAAAATCAATCCATAATTGTAAATCTTACAAACCACACTCATCCAAATTTGTGTTTATTCTATGAATGACAATTATTATAATGAGTAAAAAAAACAGTACAAATTTAGTCATTCGTCCTGGCAGTAGGCATTTCACATCCACAGAAATAACATACCGTTTTGTCTCCATTTAACGCCCCCAAAGTTTTGCATTTTTCCAAAATGGGGGCACTAATAAGAACCATAAAAAAGTGCTTTAAAATATGTTTATTAAAGATACAATTCAATTTAATGTAATTCATTATTCATGATTATGATCTAATATAATACAGTATTAATTATTTTAATGAGTGTCATTAACTGTTATCTTTTAAATAAAAATATTTGGATTTTTTGGATTGTTCTTTCATTATGGATTATAAATCTGTAAGATAAGATTTTTTTTCTACAAAATGTGGGGGCGTTAACTGGAAATAATACGGTATTATTAAATTGTCAAAATATGTATAGATTTCTCTTACATCATTAGTAACATAGTAGAATTTTAGTAAACTCTGCTATATTTGTATAACACATTGAATACTTTACCATTATTGAGAATACTTATTCAGTTCTAAAATGGATATGCCTTGTTTTTGATAACGAGGAATTTCAGAATGCTAAATTTAACCAGCCAGTGGTATAGTGCTATCATTGAATTTGCAGGCTGGTTAAGGCAAATCGTTGTTGCCACTAAACATTTTTAAGGATGAAAGGCATAATTTCGAAGACTTTGTAAAATATGAATTTTATGTCTTATTAAAGAAATGATTGGAACAAATGAGGTCATGTTTTCAAGTGGAAAAATTCTTATTTTCTATAGCTACTTCATGTACATTGTAATTGACTGTAAAACATCTTTGCAAGGGGTTTGACAGAAAAAGAAGATAGATAGCTAGAAATTGGTAAAGAATGTTGATATTGCTTTAGTGATTTGTTCATTATTTTTGGCTCAATGTTTACATATTATCAAATATTTTCCTTTTCATGATAGTATAATTTTGTTTCTATTTTTAGCATCATCATTCCCAAGGCCTGCACCATATTCCATAGGCAGTAGTCTACCATTAGGCATGGGTAAGTGTGTTTGTTCTTTTTTTTTAAAAATCTGTTAACTAACCTTTTAAATGTATGATCTCTTTTAAAATCAACGACTTTTGAGGCAAACATGTAACTTTGAGTTTAATCATTGTGGTATTTATTAATATACAAGAATATTGTGGCTGGTTAGTTTTAAGGTTACTTGACTATTGAACATATCCTGTGTTATTTCCTTAACTCAGTGTCTAGCCTATCTTGACATCAAAACATCCATGACTAAATGTTAAAAGTTGCTTTATTCCCATCATTTTGTCATCTCTGGTGCGGGATCAAATCTTGCCAGTAGCCTCAGATGATATTCAGATACTAAATGGTTGTAGGTCAGTGGTTCTTAAAACTTTTTAATTGACCACTAGCACATGAAATAATGCATGAAGGGAGTGCGTGATATATTTTTCCTCAAAGTGTGACTGACATGCCACCTTGTGACCATAAGAGTGTTGATTCAAGTTAAAACTTAACCCTAGTGCATTATTTATTGTTTGTTTTTTTTCATCGTAGGTAACGGATTGATGTCAACTAGTCGCGAGGCTCCCCCTAGTGTTCCTTCAGGATCTCAGGATTGGGGACGTTTGCATCGTCCTTCCTCCTCAACATTCTCAAGTCCGTGGACAAAGACGGAAGATAGAGAGAAAGAAGAAAGAGAAAGTATGGATAGACGCAGGGAAGAAGATAGAGAACGGTAAAGTGTAGTTTTTTTTAGATTGGTCAGCATTCAGTGTGCTTTTATATTTCAGTGTCATATACTATCTGGTTATTCCATATAAACAAAGCATTTTTAAGCTGAAAATATATTAAGCTGTACAAGTCTTTAACAGAAATATTTTCATAAGAAATACAAGGAGTTTCTTTGCTTTTGCATAAGCATATTTTGATATTTAAAATGGAATAGATTTTTTTCTCCAAATATCAAGTTTAGTCTATGTTTGAATGTTATAAATAGAAATTAAGTAATTGTCATAAAAAATAATAATTTTTGCATTTTTATTTAAAGGGAAAGAAGGCTATTAGAACAGGAGCGCCACAGATTTAGCTCCCTTGATGACAGAGGCAGAGACCGTGACCGTTACCGAGAGAGTGAAATGTTAGCAAAGTCAAGGTCACGATCAAGATCACCAATGCGTAATGGACGCTCAGACTCTGTGAAATCTGAACGTAGTTTTGAGAGGCGTTCTGAAGACTCTGGGATGAATGTGATGAAAGTGAAGGAAGAGAAACGTGAAAGCCTTACACGTGAAGATGATCTCATGGTTGCCGCGGCAGCTGAACGTGAAAGAGAAAGATTAATGAAAAATGAGTATATTGCAAATAGTATACGAACTGGTGATCCTTTTTTGCAAGGTGCTGTAATGGATAGGGCTAGAATGTTGAACCCAGCTTCAGCATATTCAGTGACAGACAGGGTACCACCACATCCATCATTGTGGAACCCTTTTGACAAAGGTCCAGTAGATTTTCAAAATATAAGACTAAATTTACAAAGAGAAATGGAACAGGCACGAGAACAGTTGTTGTTGAATAGATTTCCGGGACCGGGGTTACAACAAGGATTTCCTGGTTTATCCCCCTTTGAACAGGAACGTTTCCGAGATGAAATGATTCTAAGGGAGAAACGAGAAAGAGATTATCTTGAAAGACTTCCGGCGTTTACGCGTGAACGTATGTTTTATGAAAACAGTAAAATTCAAGGAATACGTCCCCAAGATCATTTGACTCATCCATCATTGAGTAACAGTTTTTCTAGGAATAGCCCAGCATTACATAACCATATAAAACGTAGTTCCCCCGCAATATTACCGGGGGCACCGCCACCATTAATACATTCAGTTAGTGCACACAGTTCAAGGGGACATAACTCACCTGCTGTGAATAAGTCAAAAGGAGTAAGCCCCATAGACTCTGTTGGGGAAAGCAAACGGGACAGTAATTCCAATTCAACTGACCCTGATGTTCATTCTAGGTAATCAGGGTGAGAAAAATGACAAAGGTCGTATGTGAGAATGACGCTTGACCTTAAATGTGTGATAATTTAAAGTTTTAAAGGGGACGAAAAACAAGCGTTTTGTTGGAGGATTGTAATACATTATTTGGATAATCAGGGTTAGAAATACTGTGAAATAGTAAGTGACATGATGTATATATTATCCTCGGGAAAAATAATTTTCCGTTATGTGATCTTAGTATTAGATTGTCATATTATAAAAATGCCGATTTTGAACTCATGCTGTCTCAAAGAGAAATTTGTGGAATTATTATAAGAAATATATATTAAATATTGATGATGGATTTTGTATGGGATATTTCATTTTAGTGTGTTCTTTCTTTTCTGTGTTATTGTTAATTCTTGATTAATATACTATTATTGTATGTACATAAGTAGACGTAATGGGGGAAAACTCAATTTGTATTGCCCAAGCAAAGGAACAAGCAAATTTTTGAAACACATGCTGTGATTATGAAATGAGGGTTTATGTATTCAAAAATCGTTTTTTGGTTTGTAAAAGATATCTTCAGGGTTTTGTTTTCTTGCAAGTTTTTTTTCTCCTTTATTTTCACTGCCAATAAATGAAGTATAATAAATTTTTTTTCATTTGCTTAAGTTGTAAAACTTGTAGCCTGCTGGAGGGAACAAAATCTATCTATGTGACCAGAGCAGACCATGGTCCGTGCCATTTGATGATTGTCTTCACTGGTTGTTTTTTATCATCACATATTTTGAAATTTTACGAAAAAGTAATGAGTGGTTTTGTCAAGATTTTAAAGATGGAAAAGTCCATTTGAGATATTAAGCATTGTTGATACATTATATTTGTAGAGTTAAATGTGGTTATCTAAAATGATTTAAAATTCTGTTTCAATTAATGTAGAAAACTACTGATTTGACTGAATTAAAACCTTACCTGGTATGCTAAACTATCCAGCTTGCTTTCGAAGCGTTAGGTGGTTTCTGAGGCCTTGGCCAACAGTAAAACTGGAGGTTTCAATATGACCTCTGTTGGTGTGACGTAAATCCCAACCAAAAAAAAAAGGAAGATATGCTGAAGCACAATCAAAGAATGTGTTGGTTTCTGTGCTTTTTATGAAATTTGAAATTTATATTGATGAAGTATTTTTAGCTCACCTGTCACAAAGTGACAGGGTGAGCTTTTGTGATCGCTTTTCGTCCGGCGTCCGGCCGGCGTCCGTCCGTAAACTTTTACTTTAAATGACATCTCCTCATAAACCACTAAGCCAATTTCATCCAAACTTCACAGGAATGTTCCTTTGGTGGTCACCTTTAAAAATTGTTCAAAGAATTTAATTCCATGCAGAACTCTTGTTGCCATGGCAACCGAAAGAAAAAACTTCAAAATATATTCTTGTAAAAAACCATAAGAGCTAGAGCTTAGATATTTGGCATGAAACATCTTCTAGTGAGTGTCTACCAAGTTTGTTCAAATAAAAGCCCTGGGGTCAAAATTGGCCCCGCCCCGGGGGGTCATTGATTTTCCCTATATGCATATAGTAAAAACTTAAAAAATCTTCTTTTAAAGAACCCAAAGAGCTAGAGCTAAGATATTTAGCATGAAAACATGTTCTAATGGGTGTCTACCAAGTTTGTTCAAATAAAAGCCCTGGGGTCAAAATTGGCCCCGCCCCGGGGGTCATTGATTTTCCCTATATGCATATAGTAAAAACTTAAAAATCTTCTTTTAAAGAACTCAAAGAGCTATGGCTAAGATATTGAGCATCAAACATGTTCTAATAGGTGTCTACCAAGTTTGTTCAAATAAAAGCCCTGGGGTCAAAATTGGCCCCTGCCGCCAGGGGGTCATTGATTTTCCCTATATGCATATAGTAAAAAACTTACAAAATCTTCTTTTAAAGAACTCAAAGAGCTATGGCTAAGATATTTAGCATCAAAACATGTTCAAATAGGTGTCTTCCAAGTTTGTTCAAATAAAAGCCCTGGGGTCAAAATTGGCACCGCCCCGGGGGTCATTGATTTCCCTTATATGTGTATAGCAAAAACTTAAAAAATCTTCTTTGAAAAAACCCAAATAGCTAGAGTTAAGATATTAAGCATGAAACATCTTTTAGTAAGTGTCTACAAAGTTTGTTCAAATAACAGACCTGGGGTCAAAATTGGCCCCGCCCCGGGGGTCATTGATTTTCTTTATATGTGTATAGCAAAAACTTAAAATCTTCTTTGAAAAAACCCAAATAGCTAGAGTTTAGATATTAAGCATGAAACATCTTTTAGTAAGTGTCTACAAAGTTTGTTCAAATAAAAGCTCTGGGGTCAAAACTGGCCCGGCCCCAGGGGTGTCATTGTTTTTAACTATATGTGTATAGTAAAAACTTTAAAAAAAATTTTCTTTCAAAAGCCCAATAAGCTAGAGCTTAGATGTTTAGCATGAAACATCTTCTTATGGGTGTCTACCAAGTTTGTGCAAATAAAAGCCCTTGGGTTAAATTGGCCCTGCAACGTTGGGGGGGGGGGGGTTGGGGGGGCCCTACATACAGGTGAGCGACCTCAGGGCCATCATGGCCCTCTTGTTTATTTATGATGGACAAAATAAACAAATCTGTATAAATGTTTGTTCAAAAATTGCAACAAATTTCTTTGTAAATATTTCAGTGAGTTATGGCTATAAATTATTGAATTGTTTTTGATATATTAGTATTTCTTTAAAACTTTTTAAAAGTTGAAAAGCAGTAAAAGAAATTAACTTAAATGTGATAATTTTACTTTCTCATAAGAACAGATGTTAATAAATTATTATTGAATTATAATTTTTAACTGAAAATTACTTACAATAGAAAAGATACTATGTTAATGTTATGGTAACATGTCAGTCAAATTCCGATCTTCTATTAACACAACTAATATTTCATTTAAACTTTTTAAATACATAAAAAGGAAATCTGAAAATAGTTAATTTATCATGGTAAAGAACAATAAAGGTAAACCTTATGATTTTTATAAAATTGGACTTGTCCGACTTTGACTTCGGAACAGTCCATTAATAGAGGAATTTCAATATATACATACTAAAAGCAAGCACCAAACTGTCTAAATCTTGAGCGTGTAGTTGGCAACTGTATATACCCATGTGACAAGTGCAGACCAACATCAGTCAATATGTTTGTGTGACAAGTGCAGACTTAGATCAGCCGGCATGTTTGTGCATTGGGATCATAGTCTGCACTGTTCGCTATTTTAGTTGGTATATATTTTGAAATTCTCCCGAAAAATGATTAATGTTTTTTACCCCCAGATTAAAAGATAACTCCATTTAAGACATAATGCACAGTAAGAGTTAGTAGAATTAATTAACTGATCAGATTGACATTAGATTGAAAGTGCTTTCTTGATATATAGTGCTATATACAGATTAATTTTAGGATATGGTATGAAAATATTTATGATTTTTATCAAAATTTATGATTCCTAGAATTTGATTTATATTTGCCATGGCAACCATTATTTGTAAAATATTATCTAAAAAATGCATGCTGTATTATTTATTTATCAGTCTGGCAAATTTCCAGAATGAACTTTCTTTTGTGAAATATTTATTGTGTTCTTAATTTAGCAAAAAAATGAGCATGTCACTAAAAATAAAATAACATAAACTTGATGTTTGATAGGTTTCAATTTTTATACTACTTTATTTTTCTGATGCTATATTATATTGATATGAAAAATGTACTTTTATTGATTATTAAGAATTTTTGTCATTTGATTTGTTTCCAGTGTTTAAGATATTAATTTTTAATATTAATGAATGAATAATAATAAATTAGCATAAACACTGTGTTAAATGTTACTGGAAATAAAAAAGAAATTTAATATACTTGTATTAAAAAGTTTGCCATGAAAGTTTAGTCTTAAATGCTGCATTTGTTAAAAAAGATATGTCATGAAGGTTCAGTACAAAATGCTATTATGTTCATTGAATAAGCTGCCTAGAAAATTCAGTATGAAATGCTTTAATGTTCATTTAAAATCACCAAGAAAATTCAGTATGAAATGCTATAATGTTCATTTAAAATCGCCCAGAAAATTCAGTATGAAATGCTTTTTTGTTCACTAAAAAACCATAAAAGTTCAGTATGAAATGTTATTGTGTTCATTTAAAATTGCTTAGTAAATTCAGTATGAAATGCTATTATGTTCAATAAAAATAACCATGAAAGTTCAGTAACAATGCTACATTCACTAAAACAAATGAAAGTATAGAATGAAATGGTATTATGTTCACTAAAACGAATCCTGAAAGTTCAGAATGAAATGCTATTATGTTCATCTTGATAGTTCAGTATAAAAATGTGATCATTGAAGTTCAGTATGAAATGCTAAGTCCACAATTTAAAGAAGTATTAAATTTTGATAATGTATTTATTGATGAGACACAGTTTAATCTTTTATTCCAGAGTGATGCATATTGCCTTCAGTGAGAGATAATATTTTTGCTACTTTTAATCAATGAAGGATACAGGATATATCTCACTAGAAAAAATATATTCCATTAATTAGATATAAAGAAAGCTCCAAGATATCAGAATAGCCTTAACATGGACACTATTTATCAGATATGTTCAGTCCTTTATAAAATACAAGATAATCAGAACAGTTAGTTTAGGGAACAAAAATCATGTATTATTTGGTGGATCATTTATCTTTTTTTTCTCCTCATGAACTCCTATGTTCATAAAACACTATGTTCATAAATGTATCATAAAATGGCATTGGGACAACCTGGGCCAGGGACAATTGGAATCACTTTAGACAGATTTTGTAATCATCAATATTTAATCTAATAAACATTCTTGAAAATTTTCAAAGTTTTTTTTTCAAGTATATAAAACACTTTTTTTTTTCAATTAATTCATTATATATGGAATCAATAAACATGATAATTGATACTGTTAAAATTAACAGGCAACTTCTAATATGGTAATACACGTAATTACAAAAAAAAAGTATAATGTTCTTCCATTGCCAGAAATTTGTTCTTTTTAAAATAATCAAAATCTTCTGAAAGAGGCCTTTAAGGAGCATGCCTCCTGTTTTGTGAAATTTTTAATGAGAATTTAAAAAAATGAAAATACTGAAAAATGAAAATACTGACAAGTATATTAATTTATTAAACCAAACAAAGGGCAGTTTTGTTTGCAGAAATTAGGCATAAGGATGTGTTTTGTTGCCTTTAGAATGGTCTGGTTTGCCCCTGATACAGATTGTCTTGTATTAGATACAATACTTGTATTTATAAATAATTTAAAACTGGATGAAACAGAAATTAAATTAGATTATTTAACATTTTGTTGATGTTAATGTTATTATTGTACCATAACATTATAATATGTACCATTTTCACTCACTATGAAATAGTGTAATATTTTTGTGTCTATAAGTAGACACTTTTTTGTGTCATTAAATAGACTATTTATAAATAGTGAGACATTATTGTTTCTTTCTTTTAAAATATGTGAACTGCACTCACTCAAATTATTGAATAAACGACAAAAATATTGTATGTTCTTTTGTCTATGTTGTTCTTTGTTTTTTTAAAGTAAAGTGTTACTTAGTT